CGTTTTCATGTTGAGCTTCCTTCATAGGACTTTATAACTGGTCAATTCTCCCTTATCAGGATTATATGACAAAGTTAAAGGACACCTGCTCTTCTGGTGCAATTTTTTTCGCAGTTTGTCGTGGAAAGGTATGAGCATACTCTATATAATAAACAACTTTCCTCTTCTACATAGTTTATTCGAAGTCAAGCTGATCACCTTGTGTAGAAAAGTATCTATTCTCATGTTTTAAGGTTACATGGCATGATATGTTATCTTTTTCCAATCGTAATTGTAGGTGAGTGAAGGATTAGATTTTGCTGATCATGCCGGGAGAGCTGTGATTGTAACTGGGCTGCCATTTGCCACCATGACTGATGCTAAGGTTTAGCTTCTTCATGATATGGAGCTTGTTTTCATATTCTCATCAAATTTGATAAAACTGTCAAGTTTTTTATGAGTTCATGCATATTGTAGAGTGTGGCATTATAGTTTTATCAAGTACTTAAAAAGACCTTTTTATTTCAACTGCTGTACACAGGTTCGCCTGAAGCGTGAATTCTTGGATCAACAGGTGCAGTCTCTAAGGACTGGAGTCAAGGTAATCTAATAGAATGGACTAATATATACAGTTCTTATATTTTGTAATCTTCTTCATGCTTGTGTGCAATGAAGTTGTAATTGCACCATTAATAATCGACAGGGTTTGACTGGAGAAGAATGGTACACTCAACAAGCATCAAGGGCCGTAAATCAGGCTGTTGGCCGTGTCATTCGTCATCAGCATGATTATGGTGCAATTATATTCTGTGATGAAAGGTAAGATGCAGTCATTGACAAGATATTTGATCCTGAAGAGATATTTTTCAATGTATATGATAAAGGCAACCATAATTATTTTATTTGCACTTCCTGTATATGATAAAGGCAATAACAATTATGCAAGACGTCTCTTAGATATGATGCATGATCCTGTGCAACGTTTTCAATCGCTTTTTGTTATGAATAGATTCACAAATTCGAGCCGCCAGTCGCAAATATCAATGTGGATAAAACCTCATGTCAAAGTACATATCTCTCTTTCCCTCTCTCTCTCTCTCTCTCTCTCTCTCTCTCTTTCTCCTGTGTGTGTGTGTGTCTGTTAATTTGTTTCTTTTATTCTGTATTCTCCATTACCAAAATATTGAAAATTTGCATGTGCAGTGTTACTCCAAATTTGGTGATGTAGTTTACACGTTAACTCGTTTTTTCCGAGAAGCTGGAACACGATGCCCTCCAAAGCTTGATTTGGCACAAGATGCTGTGGTCAGTGGCCCTCAGAAGCTGGAATTGACGCAAAATGAATATCAGGGTAAATTTTCTTAATGTTTTTAACTAGTGACTTCTGATTGCTTCCTTATGTTTATTCCCATGTTCTTTCATTACCACATTAATCACCAGTTCGTTATTTGTGAAATAATTGAATGTTCAAATTAGAAGCAAAAAAAAATAAAAAAAAAATGAAGAGAATGGGATGTGGGGTATGGTGCTGACATTTATGAGTATTCAATCGTCTCTCTCTCTCTCTCTCTCTCTCTCTCTCCTTACATGTCAAAATAATCATGGAAATTACCTGTTTCTAAGCTCCCGATCTGTTGTTCTATGCAGATTTGTTTCTTAGGTTAAATCTAGTTATACTTTCTCCATATTATCCAAAGATTTAGCTTCTCCCGCTCTTGTAATGTAAAATTTCTTATTTTTCTACTCCCGATTTCAACTTGAGTTTCTAGCTCTTCATGATCCGTGAGAATCTTTGGCTGAATCTTAGGCTATGTTTGGTAAAACTAACTGATAACCTAGCTGATAGCTGAAACAAAAATTTCAACTAGCTTATTTGAAAAGCTACTCAAAGAAGCTTATGAGATAAACTCGAGCTTTTTAAAAAAGCTCGTCCTACCAAACGAAGCTTATTTAAATACATGAAACTTATAAGCTAACCAAATAAGTTATAAGTTGGCTTATTTGTCTACCAAACATAGCCTTAGTTGTAAAGGGAACCTTCCGAAAGGAAAATTTGACTAATAAAGTTGGATGAGATGTGGGAGTGGTTTCTGGTCCAGGATTACCCAGCTGTGTTTTGGGACCAAATAGGAAATTCAATGGATTGTAGCTTCGTGATATATGAGCTGTACGGGAATATACTTGCTTCATCTGCTTACGAACCGAAAAGCTGAAGATATGGTTGAAGTGTTAAAATTCCCAGGAGATTATTAAAATAAGAATCTTTGGTTGCTCATATGTCGTTGCAGAAAATGCATCCTTTGACTCGTCACCTTCAACCGAACAATTAAAACGAGAAAAAAATATATCTAGCCGTTTGAAGGAAGTTCTTCCTGCTAACCGTTCATACCTGACGTCACACAAGATTCTCCCAGATTCTCTTTTGAGTTTATTCAAATCGCCCGACTCGAATAATACAAGTCATACACTGAAAGATCCTTTGATCAGTGGGAAGAGAAATGGAGAAGAAACTAAAGATATGTCAGGTTCGTGCATTTTGGGAAAACATAGATTGCTAATAACCGGCCCCGATAAGCCGAGTAACAATTTAAGTAATTTGGTAAAGAAGAAAAAGTTACAGCTTCCAGAGAATCTCAGCACATCAAAACCCGGGGGAAAAGAACTGTTGTTGGCCTCTGATGAAGTGATTGTGTCAAAGAAAACGTTTAATCATAATGAGGAGACAAAGGGTTCAGCTTTTCTCACCAAGGTAAAATTATTTGATGTATTTTTTTCATATGTTTTGGTTTAATTTGCCTATGAAAATTTTGATATTTCGTAACATATTTTGCAGGTTCGAGAAAAGCTTACGGGCGCTGAGTATGAAAAATTCGTGGGCTTCATGAAAGCCCTGAAGTCAAACTCAATGAAAATAAGCGATGTTCTGCAATCAATCACGAGATTATTTTCAGCTCCAGACAGGCTCGCTCTTCTTCATGGGTATCGGATCTTTTACCACAAAAATCGTATATAGTTAGTTTCTTAAGAGTGTGAAAATTTGCCTTTCTAATAGTGAAGAATGTCTTGGAAGGTTTAGTGGGAATGGCTGATGAGATTAAGATATGGACATGAAGGAGATTAAGTCTATGTTTGGTGAACGTAGCTGAAAAGCTAGCTTATAGCTTTTAAGTGAATTTCGAGCTTATAGTTGATAGCTTATGACTTATGGCTGAAAAACTAGCTTATATGATAAAAGGGTTTAGTAAATTTAACTCTTAAGCTAGCTGAAATAAAATTTTCAATGGCCTTATTTGAAAAGCTACAGTAAGAAGCTTATGAGATAAACTCTGAGTTTTTTTAAAGTAGCTTATCCGACCAAACTAAACTTATTTGAATGCAGAAAACTTATAAGCTAATCAAATAAGCTATAAGCTAGCCTATATGCTTACCAAACACAGCCCAAAGATAACACAGCCTAAAGATAACTGAAAGAAACTTAAGTTTGCAACTCGTTTTATTTCATTAGAGACTCGGAAAGATGGTAGTGAAACTAGGAGGCTAAGTTTGTGTTACAAGGATTTGACAGTGTTTCTTTGTTTTGGGAATCTTGGTCATCTTTTTTATTTACCTTTTATGGCAGCTTCAAAGATTATGTCCCTGCGAAATATCGTTCTCTGTACGAGCATTTTCTGTGTGCTAATGGCAATGCAGCTGGTTTTCAAAGTAAGCAACTTCTTCATAGTTTGTAGATTTAAACTACAAACAGTTGTATTCCTAAAATCAACTTTCAGATATTGTTTTTCTTTGCAGTTTATTTTTAGCCTCTCCTTGTTCAAATTTAGTATTTCACTCACCAAAACATAAA